CTTGATCACCTGCGGAGCTACGCCTGGCAGAGCAAAATAGAAAAGAAAGTGCAAGAGAAGCAGACAGAAAAAAATAAATAGAGGACATAAAAGGAGCCTCTATAAAATCTGTGGGCCATTGCATGGCATTGTGAAGTTCATGCATTCACATTCATAGTTACTGTGTTCATTTGTATTCATTTTTTATCTGAAATATTATCAATGTCATCCCTTCTCACCTTCCTCCCGAGGAGGCGCATCTGCCCCAGGTACAGATTGCTCCATGGCATAGGTCTCCTCCAGCGCTACGCCTACCAAGCGAAAGCAAATCTCTATAGAATGTAAGTGCACCAGACATACATGAAAAAGATCAAATCTCTTCCATATCAATCCCATTCAATCCCAGCCTTTCTCACCTTTCACCCGGGGAGCTGCAATTGCTGGAGTCTCAGGGCAAACTTTCGAGTCTTCGCTATTCCCTGGAGCTTCCCCTGACGGCCAGAAACAAATCTCTATAAAATGCAGCTGTCTCCTCAGAAGTCAGGATAACCTCTACTGCAAACCCATGAGCACACGATTCTTCCCCCTTCCATCCCATTCCCCTCCGTCTTTGTTTGCTGTTTTCGAGTATGCACTGTTTTCTAGTATGCGCTCACATCCCGCACCTTCTGCGAGTGGTTGATGTTCCTGTCCAGCTAGCAGAGAACCAGCACCAACCGCCTGCCAAGATGAAATGGACATGGACTGGATGATCACACACTACTAGTATCTACTAGTATATGCATGAGATGCCACGAGTTCTGCTTGACATATCTTGAGCATGTTGCATTCATTTGCGATTCGTGCATTGAATAGTTTTCTCTTTTGGTAAGAGGGTGCAAGAGGGTCAGAAATAATGTCTCTTGATGCCTTGCAGGAATTTTAGGTGCAGCAATGTTAGCTGCACATAAACCCAGAACGTCCCCGCCATGACTCAAACCACACCTTGGCTATATGAATGTGAACGAGGTCCGAATTCATATCCACGATTTCACGATGTACGGTATATACCTTACCTTTTTTAGACAAGCCATACTACATAGATGTATCTAGTATAAAAAAAATTGTATAAAATGCAGGGGTCTCCAAACAAATTCTATAAAATGAAGGGGATCAGATGGGATCAGGCTGAGGAAAGAAACAAAAACCGTGTTTGTCTGTCATCAAGCGTCTGCAAAAACGGCCCTGCAAAATTTTAAAGGGTAAATTGCCGAGCTCTGAAGGTCCTTTCCTCCAGAGACTGTCCCGTTTGCGTGCTTCTTGTAGTCATCTTTCTGGGAGTTTGCACGCTGTTTCTGAAATTTTTTTCTCTTTTCCCGAGTCATGGTCCGTTTCAACTTCTCTGCACCCGGGAGCGCTGCATACAACTGTGTCCCCTTCTGAAGGCGGTGACCGTATAGTCCCAGCCATGTAAACACCTTGATCCAAAACAAAAAAAAGTCGTACGAAAGTATATGAAAGTATACAAGATTCTACAACCTGAGAAGCTGCAAAACGAATGCCAGCGCTTCCCCTTTTCGACAACTGCGCGTCGAAGCAAGCAGAGAAGAGGCATTGCTGCAAGGCCTAGTATCGCCATGGACAAAAACCGCTACAACCAAGTTCCTCAATTTGTGGGGCTCGAAACCCCTGCGTTTCGAGCCCCACAAACCCCTTGCCATGCGAGCACCAGGCCGCATGCGTCCACCCAAGTACACTTCGTGTGCTATGAATTTTTACAAGTCTGGAGAAGGAGGGCCGACGGGTACAGAACCAGTAGAGGTTATCCAATGATCGGCGTTCTAGAACAGATCAATCAAGTTCCCCGATTTGTGGGGCTCGAAACAGTAGCGTTTCGCGCCCCACAAACCCCTTGCCATGCGATCACCATGCCGCAAATGATGCAAATGATGCATTTGGCATTTCTTGCGTCACCACCCCTCAAAAATCACCTCCAACACAACCTCAAAAAACCTTCCCTCGAAGCACCACCCCCCCAAACCCCCTAACTACTCACTTCGTTCGCCAGACACAACTCTGCTAGCGCCTTCTACGAAGGCTGGCTTTCGTAAAAGTATACAACAGTGGTTGCAAACATTTGGAACCATAGGCACAAATATTAATAGACACGTAAGAAGATTCAAATGGGTTCAACATGATTCAACAAATTCCAAGAAGCCCGGGTCATATGAAATGACTTTAGGAGCAGCTTCATCTCGGGGAATTTTGCCATAACGGACGAGTGCGGCTGCTCCACCATTAGGAAGAAGTGACGAAACACCGCCAGCTCTTTCACAAAGTGGATCTTGGTGGTGCAATTATGTGCAAGTAGTCTTTTCTTAGCATAGAAAATCTCTCCCTCAAAAGTCGCCACAAATCTATACAAATCTCATCAAATCTCTATACAAAGATAGGAACTATGACTACCCATTACTGAAAAGACCTATATATATTGAAAAATATATAAATGTATGTACATCTACATAATTCTGCCGGGCTGCCATGTTCATCAGGATTCTGTTGCCGAGCCTGACTTTGAAGTTCGAGCGGTTTCCTCGAAACCGGTTTCTGAAAGAGCGTCGATGCACGCTGGAGCTGAGGAAGATGAACAAACCTGAAAAAGGACGGAAGCTCAAGGACGCAAGGAATCTGAAGCAATCAGAACAGGGGCCTGAAAGATTCTAGTAGGAACACGTAGATACATACATATATATACCTATTATTCCATACTCTATGAAATGATGGGGCTTCCTTTGGTCTTCTCAAAGACTATATGGACATCTATGGTTATTTATGAACCTATGTTGTATGGTAAGATTCTCTAAAAAATGCAAGGGCCTAGCTCCAAACGCAAACAGAAAAATAAAGGCTGAAGTACCAAAGGTCATCTCCCCTTGATTTGGCACTACCATCAGTAGAACCAATCATTCTATGAAGAAAAATTGATTAAACAAAATACGGGTTGGAGGACACCCGTATTTTTGAAATTACAAATGAAAATGGATTGTAGTAACCTGGATGATGCCTGGAAGTCTATAAAGTTATAGGGCCTCTTTTGGTTACCTAAAATACTAGTTGTGGTTGAACATCTTCCAAGATATTTCTCTATGAAATAGCAGGGCTTACCTCCAAACGTATACAGGCATAACTATCAAAAGTCATCTCCCCTTGATTTGGCACTACCATCAGTAGAATCAATCATTCT